ATGGATGGATGAATGGATGGATGGATGGATGGATGAATGATGGATGGATGGATGGATGGATGAATGAATGGGTGAATGAATGAATGAACTTTATTTCAAGAGAGTAACACATGACAGTTATAATTTCAAAAAATCATACTGATAACCCAGTGGCCCTAAAATTGTTTCTTTTTCGTTCAACCCAATTAAGCTTTGCCACTGCTGTACTTGCAATGGTGAATAGCAATAATAAGTTTTTATGTCGTTTTTTTTTTGTTTGATCATTGAGTAGCCATTATTTAAACTCTCTGAATAATTTCAACGATAAGAGACAAGCATAACAGTTGAGAGGCTCATACTTTGCTAACACTAGGAGGCAGGGAAAGGAAGTTATTTGATACCTGTCAAAGTCTTCATCACTGACTGCCGATTCATATGCTGCTGGTAGTGTCATGACTTTATTAAACAACGCCGCAGCAAGTTCATGATGTTTAGCAAGATCCTGAAATATCAATCAAAAAATTTCAAAAGTGAAATAGACAGTTGTGCCACTAATACAGTTAAACTACCTCAATCGTGAACACGTAGAGGTCACTAATGACTTTATTTTTGGATTCTTGATTTCATTGTTCGATTCGAAGATTCATTAATGAAAACGAATCTTCAATATTTAAATAATTATAATAATTTGAAAATTCGATTTATTTGGCTTGTAGGCTCTTGTTTAGTGCAAACAGAAGTTAAGTCTTATTAGATCCTATTAACCGAGTGGGAGGTCTGTAAGGGATAATCTTGACCGAGGTCTGTACCCAACCGAGGTCAAGATTATCCCGTACAGACCGACCAAGCTCGGTTGATAAGAGTTTTATTATATGACCACTTTTCATTGAAAAGGACAAAATGTTTTTGCCCTAAGATTAATATGCGATCGGACCGGTTAATACCGGAGAATCTAGACCAGTCCGCGATGTGATCTATCCAATCAGATTGCTCGATTTGCTAGTGTCCAGGCTCTAAGATTCACGGTCATATAATAATATTACATATTCCTTGCACAAAAAGTTGTTTTTGCAATTCAGCTGCATATATATATGCTTATGGCTTTTGTATATGCTAGGCTTTGAAGATTCGTTTTCCATAATGAATGTTCRAATCGAATAATGGAATCAAGAATCCAAAGATAAAGTCATTAATGAACTCTATGTGTTCACGCTTGAGGTGGTTCGACTGTAAAAGAAATACTTTTAAGGTGACTGCCTACTTTTGGAAATTGATTTAAGCTTTTTTTAAAACTTCAATTTTCCAAATTGAAATTTAATGCTGATTCCAAATCTGGAAAGAAAAAAAGGGTGTCCCGAGCTCGTTTTCGAGATACAGTAATCAGCATTTAATGGAAGCCTACGCACGAGCTTTTGGAGTAAAAATTGTGCCACTGGAAGTGATTAGAAAAAAATTAAGATTAATAAGATAATACTTATTTGCAGACTATACGATTGCATGAACGAAGGCTAGTCAATCCTTCTACAATAATGCATGGATATTTTCGACAAAAAGACAGAGAGATACATTGATTTGTCATATTTTGTAGTTTCGGTGCTCTTAAAAAATCTCATAAAGTTGAACAAAAATCCCTACAAAAATCTATTTTTTCACATGTTCCTGATTTAAACTTTTCCTAAAATGTTGACATAACCTAGATTTTTAGGAGTTTTTTTCGAATGAGCTATCAAAAAATATAGAGTCCCGTGCAAAATTTGAGGGTTTTGCCCTGTTGAAGCTCAAAACGTGTATGGTTCTTCAATAAAATCTTGTAGGTTTTTCAGCGGTTTTTGAGCGCACGCACATCGTGGGCTCAAATCGAACGTTCAAAAGTAGGCAGCCACATTAATGATAATCATTATCACATTTTCTTACCTCAGAAGTATAAAGTGCATTGCAAACAAAATCTGCAGCAGCTTCATGAAGAATGTCACTGATTTGTGAAGAAGGATTAGACTGGAGAAAGAAATGTTTTATTGAAATGGCTTTAGTAACAAATTCAATCATGTGAAAGCAAACCATCAGACCTCTACCTTGATTACAGTATTTTCTTTTCCCATTTCAGACCACATTCTCTTGAGAATAAAATTATTTGTTTGAGTTGTATCCATATGCATGTGCTTCTCATGCACAGTCGTGAAACAAAGAAATGATACTCTAGGGAATGATACATGGTCTTGAGAATAAGATTCTTTGTTTGAGTTGTATCCATATTCATATGTCTTTTTATGTGCAACCATTAAACAAAGAAATGATACTCTAGGGAATGACACCTGGTCTGAAATGGGAAAGCATTCCATCCAATGTACTGTAAATTGGTCTCAGAAGAAGAATCCAAGAAGATTTAAAAAAATAATACTTACTAAGATTTCAAAAGTTGCAGATAAAAGTTTGCTATTGGCAATTTCTAAGGGTGGAAAAGCACCCAGTATAATCCAGCTTCCTGCACAGCGGAAAATCTGAGAAATACATAATACAATCCACATTTTGATTAGTTTCAAAACAATCTCTAGTTATATTTGACATTGCAACAATATCTTGATTCTTTTGAAAAAATCTAGCTAAAAAAAATATTGGATTTTTTCTTTCTAGTTGGCATATTTTACTGTGGTAAAATGATTTTACCTTGACTCTAATCTTCTCATCGGCAGGACACTTTTCTAAGCATGTAGACTGCAATGATAATAATTTTAGCAAGTCGTTAATATGTAATGATTGAATAAAGATTGGTGGGGGAATAGAGGAATAATGGATGGAAGGATGGATGGATGGGTGGATGGATGGA